AATTAGCCAACTCGCTGCTTGTTAGTCACTGTTGGGAACAGGTGGGTGGATGAGGAGGTAGCTCCTAATGGATTTTTAAAAAGCAAGTTGAGGCATGATCTGTGCATGACACGTTCTCTTGCTGTTCTCTCCATTCCTATCACAGAGCCGTGAGTGTCAGTCCCTATTTATAGACGGTGTTTCTGAACCAGAAGTACTTCTCTCCCAACTTCCAACTCCTACTCATTCGTCAATGGCCAGCTCACATGGACCTCCCTAAGGCTTCGATGGAGAGAGACAGCATGCTTCTCACCGTGCCCACACCACTCTGTCCATGCCAGGGTTCCTGTCTACGAGCTGTTCCTCTGACTACTAGCTCCATTGTCTCTGTCAACTAATCAAACTCCTCGAATTTGTCCAGTTACTGGTATTCTCAGGGCACGGCTGAAGGTAAAAACAGAGAGTATTTTTTTTTTTTTACATGTGCCTATCTATCTCATACAACGAAGCTTCTATTTCAGTGTCAGTGGATGAAGGATTATGAGGTGGAAATTGTGCATTTATTTTCCAAGTGAGGGAAAATGTAAAGCGCGTGAATTCTGTCGTCAGTGCCTCTATAAGAACTGATTGGCCTGCTCTTTGATCACCTCCCCCCCCCCCCAGGGGAGAGCAGCCTTACCAGGCCACAGAGGAAGAAAATGCAGCCACTCCTGATGAGACCTAACAGACTAGGATCAGAAGGAAGAAAAAGAAACCCTCTCCTACCAGTGGCCTTGGGGAAGGGCATGCGTGGAGAAGGGGGAGAAAGGGAGGGGTTGGGAGGGGAGCAGGGAGGGAACTAGAAGGGGGATATAAAGTGTAATTAAAAATAAAATAAAAAAATTAAAAATAAAAAATAGCAGAAGTGCTATAGCCAGGTAGCCTGACTCCCAGAGAGAGAGAGCGTCAGATCCATCCAGCTCCCAAAGCAACCAGCATGCCAAGACAGTGCTCAAAACCCTTCTGTAGAGCTCCCTGCCCATGTGGTGGAAGGGGCCCTTGTGTCTGGCGACCACCATGAAGCCTCCATGGAGCTCACATGTGAGGCTCTCGTCCAGACCTGAGAAGGCTGCGTTTTCCAGGAGCAAGAGGAGGAGTAAAGTCTGTTCAAAAGAACTGGCGGTGGGTAGGGGGAGCGAAGGAGCAAAGAGAAGCAAGCCCTTTCTTTTCTGAACCCCCAGTCCTATGAGGCTGTTCAGGGTGTGTGATTCTGTGTGTGCACATATGTGCATGTTCATGTGCATTTGAGAGTACATATATTTGAGTGTGTTTGGGTGTGTATGTTCAAGTATATTTGGGTGTGTGTACATATAACTATGTGTGTGTACGGGCTCATGTCCTATGAGTGTGTGAGTGTGTGTGTGTGTGTGTGTGTGTGTGTGTGTGTGTGTGTAGGATAGAGGGTTCCATTCCTCAAGAACTGACCAGCTATTTTTCTGTTTTTACTTTCCTGAGACAAGGTTTACCCCTGGCTTGGAACTCACCAAGTACTCCAGGTTCCTGGCCAGCAGACCCTGTGGAGGTCTGGCCGAGCAGCCAGTGTTCTTAACCACGGAGTCATTTCTCCAGCCCCCTGTGCTGGTATTTTAAGTGTGGGCTGCCACACCTCAATTTGTTTCATGTGGGTTCTGGAGCTCAAACTCAGGCCTTTGCATTTGCATGACCTGCACCTTGGTAATGCATTTTTGCTTAAAATCTGCCAACAGCACTGCACACGCCTCAGAGAAGTTCAGATCACCAGGCCTGGCTTTCAAGATACTATTCTGACAGCTTGGCTTCCGAAGAGGGTTCTCAAACTCCAGCTGCAGCCACCGGGAAAGCAGAGTCCCACACCAGCAGACAGCAGACGTGCCATAGCTCCTGCTGCTCTATGTCCTAGAGATTCGTCACAGCTTGAGGTGAAGTTTCTTGGCCTCCTGGCATTTTTACCTGTAGACTTCCTGGCTAGGTCTGAGAGGGGAAACACCCCCAGGGAGCTTCTCCATTCTGGCCTTTGGTTGCACTGGGTCTGAGTCAGTGGCCTCCCCCTGGGTTCCCTGACACCTTTTTGGACTCACTGCTGATAACTACGTGTGCTACAGGGCCTGATAAACAAGCACTGCATAGGTGCAAATTAATCAGCAGTTCTGCTTGACACTGAGTGTAGCTGCTGACAGAGAAGAACATCCACATTTCGGGAATGAAGTGATCTACCCTTGGCCTGAAGGCAAGTCCTGGCAAAAGCCTATTATGTAAATGAGCTCCAGGAGCAGTGGTAGAAATGACCTTTGGGTGGTTTTTTTGGGAAAAAAAAAATCTCAGTCTAGCAAATTGGTTCTACTCTGATCAAATTAGGACAACTATTCCCTTGGACCTAACCTACTGATGAAGTTCTCCACAAAACTGTGAACAAGCACCAGGGAGACCAAGGCCAAGACTCACTAATCTCCAGTCTTAGGAACCAGAGCCCAGAAAAGGCTTTCGAATGGATGACTAATGCTCTGTTGGATAAGAGCACTTACCTTTGTGTCTATTTAGGGAGGAGGCTCTGAGGAATGGTAAAGGAATCAGGAAAGCTTAGCTGGGACATAAACACTGAAGTGCTGACAGTGGCCTTCAAGGATCCTCACCACCTGGCCACACTTTCCTGCCTTCACCTCCTTTCACCTCGCCATGCCCTCGCTCCTCTGCTCCAACCACCACCAGCTCCTTTGAGGGCCATAAAGGCCAGGCATGATCCCCTGGAGCCTTTGACTCAGCAGCTCCTTCTCACCTCATTGTCCCTCATTTTCTCCCTTCGGAGATAACTGTCAGGAGTCTCCTGTCCAATCCTTGTAGCAATACCTGTTCAAGAACAGTCTGGCCCTCTGGCTCAGCTCTATTTATCTAGTTTTTTATTTGCTGTGTTTTTCTCATTGTGCTGAATGAACCCTCTATAATACTTGTGCACATGCTAATCGGTCCTGATCCCTGGCCTTACTTGGATGCCAGCTCCCTGCAAATAGGAACTTTGTTTCCTTCTGCCCTGTTATCCTTAGCACTAAGAAACACTTGCCATATGCCACATAACACATGCTCTACAAAAAATTTGCTGAATGAATGGATGGCTGGGGGGTGTGGCAAATGCCCCTAACAGCTAGCAACCGAGGAAGGACGTCTGGAGGAGACTGTAATTGGAACTGAAGTTTCTGGCTGAGTTCCAGATCAGAACACCTGCTCCAAATCACCCGGCCCTATCTCTCTCCTATAGGCATGTGCTGATCCCAAGAGAGAAAAACTTCTGGAAGAGAGAGTTTATAATTGGTAGTTTAGGGAACCAGGGATATGGTCAAGGGGTTGGGAGAAGGGTGGGTCTTGAAGTTGCTTATGGCAGTGCACACAGAAAACTTTCCAAATGGAGAGGCTGGTGAGGGTGCCCCAATCCAAACCAAAGTGAAGACTTGGAATACAAAACCTGATGATACCTTCCCATTCTTTAACTGCTGGGGACTGACTGGTGTTGGGGACAGCGTCTGCCCAAAGATTATAGGCACACAGTTCACAGACTCCATTATGGGGCTAGAGCTGTGATTAAGTAGCTCTACAAAAGTAGGGTGGGGAAAGGATCTAACCTTTGCTGTGGTTCCCTGGAAGTAAGAAACTATGTCAATGGATTACGTCTTTCAGTCCTCACTGTCCCCTCTGGATACAATCATTGTCCCTCTACTACAGGTAGAGACACAGGCTCAGCAACTTAGCAATGATGTAAGCAGGGCCACCGAGTCAGTCCACATCGGTGAGCACATGCTTGGGTCACTCTAACTCATAGCGCTTTTCTCCTTCCTCTGGATGGTGCCAGTCAGGGAGCACTCCAGAGAAAAGAGACAAGAGGGAGAAAGAAAGAGAGCCGAAGGCTAGCCTATTCACCAAAGAACAAACAAGAAACAGGTGTGGGGCTGAATGTTCTGGGAACTGAACGTGAGTAAATGCCTTCTCGGTCACCTGACTGGGCTCTGTCCTCTGTCTTATGCTCATGAATTCCTCCTGGTTTTAGCTTTCAAGGCAACTGAAGATCATCTCTGAGAAAAAGAGCTTCATTCAGCACTGGAGGTAGAGACAGGTAACCCCAGCGACTGCTGACGGTGAAGCAGGTGGTCATTTCACTGTAAGAATGCTGCCCTCATCCTTTCTAATCTTGTCGTGCTGTGCCCCAGGTCCACCTAAGAAAGATGTGCTAATAAGTTATAGTCCAGGAAGCTGGAGCTCATTGATCTTTAGTCAAATGGGAAGGCTTGTCAGCCCGTGTCATACGCAAATTTAGGGAAGAAATTCAAATAGATGTAGCCATGTACTACGCAGAAGAAGATGAAAACTGTCCAGTATTGATGGGACTGGGTAAGGGAGACTCAGGAAAGGGGCAATGAGAAAGGCACACTACTGCCTGTGTAGTTCAACTGCCCTTGGATTACAATTCCGTAAACTGCATTTCTCCCTACGGGATGCAAATCAGGCCTCTATCAGGGCACCTAAATCCCACATCATCAGGCTGCCTACCAAAGGACATCTGCAGTTCTGAACTTGCTTAGGTAATAAAGGTAGAAAGGACTTCAGCTGCGCTTCATCTTAAATGGATGATACAAGGCAAAGTAAGTGAAACTGCATCTCTCATTCCCTCCTTCCCACATGTCACGCTAATCTCCTGCTTCATGCCTGAACCTTCCAGACTCCTAGACGGCCCAGACACCTTTGAAAATACAGCTAAAAAAGCCCCGAGACCACTCCCTAATCACAGCTTCCTTGGAATACATATTAATTCTTACTCATGTCCTTTTCCATCTGGTTTCTGTTTATACTCAGTGTTAGGAGCCACAGCTTCTAATCAAAGACGGCAAGCCTAGCTTTGTACTTCCGAGTGTCCCCCAAACATGCGCTTCATACACTTCTAGCAAAAAAAAAAAAAAAAAAAAAAAAAAAAACCCACCAGTTACCACCCTCAGCCACCCTCAAACTCAGCGGTTCATTACCTGGAAGTATCTCCAGTGGCTGTGTGTCACCAATCCAGGCTGAAGGGACAGACCAACGGAGTGAGCAGCTATGAGGCCACAGGAAGGAGTTCCCCAAATCAAGACTGTGGTCCCTGAGGGTCTCTGTTTGTATGGGAGTGGTACCCTGTGGAAAGAGAATCAAAGTTACATGACGATTTCCAGGACTTCTCCCATCACAATGCAATTTTTAAGCCAAGCACAAAAAAAAAAAAAAAAAACAAAAACAAAAACAAAAAAAACATAGGCTCAGAAATAACTGATGCTAAAACATATCTATGAGATAAATCTGTCCAATTTTTACATTCTGCAGCTGGGGGGAAACTAAGGCTCGAAGACGAGAACAGCATATTTAAGGATCAACAGTATGGGAACCTGATTGGATTCGGACACTCTGGTAACTGGAACTTCAAAATGCAGCTTTATAGTGAGGCCGACTGAAGAGTGGCTGCTGGCCCTGAATAGGAAGGCTTTTAGTGTATGTGTGTGTGCCTGTTCACATACATATGGATGCACTTTGTGCGCATACATGTGTATGTGTGTGTGTGTGTGTGTGTGATACATGTATGTGTAGGCCAGAGGTCTTACTGTGCCCCATATATACTGAGGACTTGTCACTGACCCTGGAGCTCACCTAGCCTCTCTTGTCAGCTTGCCCCAGGCATCCATCTCTGCCTCCTGAGTACTGGGATTAAGTGGGTCACCGTGCTTGAGCAGCATGTATATGAAGATCTGCACAGCAAGCACTTTCCGCACTAAGACACGGCTCAACTCCCCTTTTTAAAAAAAATCAGATTTCCCCACGAGGGGTGATTCCTTCCTCAGGCTGCTCTTTTTGTAGTTTTTATGGTTTTACCATGAGGGAACTAAATTGGTAAAACAGTCCATCTCTGGTATGTGGCTGGGATGGTGTCCACGTTTCTCAATATAAAAATACTGTTACGAAAGACTGTGAACCAGGTTTACAGCAGTCGAGGCCTTTGCTTTTTAGTGGCAACAATTCTCTCTCCCTCTCTTTCTCTTTCTCTCTCGCAGGAACATAGGAAAAGATAAGGACTCTTCCCTCAAGTACCAAGTTTTAAAGGAATTTTCTGACTGTGCTGTGCATTTGAGCACCTGCTCAACTACACAGAAATGAAAGACGCAACAGGAGTAACTAACGTTTGTAAACCAAATCATACCTGCCAGGAATATCATGTGACATCTCTACAGATATTTCCCCAATTCAGCTTAATATTTTTCTTGCTAGGTACCATTAACTCCATTTGTCCAAACAACCAGAACCCTGAACTCTTTATAGCTACAATGTTTCCTGCAGCTTGAAAAAAAAGTTCACTGTAGAACTAGATGAGTACAACCCTGCACAAGGCTTCCTTGAACACACACACACACACACACACACACACACACACACACACACACACAGAAAGAGGAGGAAGACTAATTGGAAAAGGAGAGAAAAAGGAGTTCACCAGTAGAGGGAGGGGCTGAGAGAACGTAGCAAGAGTTAAATTATAAAAAGGAAGAAGAAACAGGGCCACATCTGACTCTCAGATCTTTCCATTCATGTCAATTGGATTACAGTTAATGGGGTCAAAAATCAAAAGTTGTCTATGCATTTATTGTCCTCCTCCACTGCAGGACAACGTGCTTTGGAGGCTGTCAGTGTTGTAAAGACAGGGTGGGTTATTCTTATTAGGTTCTGTTTTGGACAGAGTCAAGGGGTCTTTGAAGGCCAAGGGTTACCACCCAGCTCCCCGCCCGGCCCTGGGAGGCTCGGCTCCCTCAGCTGTGAGCAGCTGCAGCCAGAGGGCACCACAGGAAATCATGATTATCAACGCTAGCTCGCTAGCTTGAGCTTTGTTCCTGTTCTCAGACAGTCAGGGACAAGCCAGGAGAGATGGGGCGGGGGCGGAGAAAGAGGAAGAAAAAAAAACAGGAAGTGAAGTGGGGGAGGAAATGATAGAGAAAACAGCCACTCTGAAATGTTCTCCCTGAGAGAGTGTTTTCTGAGCAGACTTGTGGAGCCGGGACCCGTGTTTTTGGAAAATAGGGTGTGGTGCAAATGAGGAAGAGGGTCCTGTGGTGGGTGCCTATAAATTCCACTATAAATTCAGCCCCTGAGCCTGGCCTATCCAACACAAGGCTGGGTGTAAATGCTAAAGCAAGTGAACCTCCAAAGGAGGGTAAGGCTATCTCCCCGAACTCTTGGCAAAGCCTGAGAAACTAGGTGAGTCTGGAGGGTTCTAGAAACAAAAGGGAAACTACTGTTGAGTGACCAGACATTAAAAGAGTATTCCCATGTCCCCACCATCTTGCTTTTTCTCTCAACCACTCTCAAATGATTAGGGGTTCCAGAGGCATAAGTGAATCTCATTCACCCAAACAGGACTGGTTGGCTGCCTTCAACCAGATAATCCAGGTCAGAACACTAAGTCTTTGCGGCATGGCTACGATCCTGCCCTGATGTTTTCTATCCATTTTGTTCACTCTGGTACTCAGATATGCTTCCAGAACTTCTCTATCTCCAAATACACATCATTAAACATGACATCAGCCGGGGAGCTCAACAACCTCATAGAAATAGCTCTACTATATAGAAGAGGGTCAAGAGGTAGCATTGCTCCCTGAGGGACTGTTGGTAGTTAATGGTTACTGCTTAGTGAGTATAATTTTCTTCTGTAGTCCAGTCACTGGTGAAGTTGTTCATGATTCAGTAAATGACCTCTGACCCATAAGCAATCCTAATTCAAATCAGTGAGTCTTTCTGTTTCTAAATCTGTCCGTTTGCTGTCCCCCCTCCTCTCTCTCTCTCTCTCTCTCTCTCTCTCTCTCACACACACACACACACACACACACACACACACACACGAAATAGATCTAATAATACTTAGCATTACCGTTATTCCCTCACAGGCACCAGGAAGGAGCAGAGAATGCAGAAGCCTTAACAAACAAGCCGATACATCCCACTGTTCCAGGGTTTCCCCCTAACTGGCTGTGCTCAGCAGAGCTAATAAAGAAATACAGTCCAAACCCAGAGAAGGAAGCAGGAAGCTTGCATTTGTGCTGCTTTTGTGATCATCAATCTGGCTTAGATCCACTGGCTAGCATTTTGGGAGTTGATGCAGCTCTCATTGTGGTCCCGTCCCCTCTTTTTTTTTTTTTTTTCTAGACACAAAAACAATGACCCAGTGAGAACAGTTTCAAGGTCTGACATCAAATGGTCTTCTGGGGATATCTCCCAGATTCTAGAAATATTCAAACTAAAAATATTGTAGTCACTATTCAAACAAACATGGAGTAACAAAGATTAAACACCTCCTTGTGAGAAATCCAAGCTCTTTGAAGTGGTAGCTCATGGTGGACGGTGAGAACCAAATATTCACAGGGAGAACAGAAATAAAGGAAAGCATCATCAAACTCTCTCTAAAGCAATACAACCTAGCATCCTTCCACACTTATTTACTTCTGCCACTGGTATTGTGCACACCATGGCAGCCTATGGCATTGTGGGTGAGTAGGATCGCTGCCGTTTTATAGCACGTGTAACCAGAAATGAGCTTCTGCTCAGCTTGAAAGAATGTCAATGACCATTTAGTAAACTTGGGAAGCCAAACCCCAGAAATGTGAAAAGCTCCATCTAGGGCCCCAGAACAGAACTAAGTAGACAGGCATCTACTGATGACATCTAATGCATTGACTTTCTCCCATCATCACCTCCCTCCCATCCAAAGAAGGACCTGGGAAACAGCTGCTGACAGCTGCTTCTTTTCTACTCTTGAGAGTCTGTGCTGGCAGGACATAGCAGGGCAAACAGAAGCGAAGAGGGAAAAGATGATGAGACCAAAGGCCTGAGAAAATACATTCTTGCCTCCATATTGGACAGATGAGGAATCTAAAGCCCAGCATGGGAGTGGGCTCCTTTTAAATGCCCCTTTCTCCAAAGCAGAGTGAGGTCTCCAGTCCAAAGGGCTTCATTTAACATCTTTCCCACAGCAGTAGGATTGGAGACACAACAGTACAAAGAATGAAAGGACAGAGGTAGACAAAACAGTGTCATATCAGACTTACTGTGTATCAGGCTTTAATTGTGTATCTTGTCACCCCCTACAATCCCACAGAAACACTATTAGCTTGACATTTCCCACAGAAACACTATTGGCTTGGCATTGCTTTAGTATATTTTATAGTTAAGGGAACTGAGATACCCTGTGATTTAGCCTCTTGTCTAAGACATTCAGTGTTTGAGACATAGGGTCAATTTATGAACTTGGGCACTCTGGCTGGAATTCTTGCTCTTAATCACTTCCTAAAACTCCTTCCCAAAGCAGCTATATTAAAGGGCAAAGCACTGGAAAGAATTAAATAAAAGCAGATCCCTTAGAAACAGAGGACACTTTATCCGGAAGGGGAAAGCTCTCCAGGCAGGGAATGCCACAAAGTGCTCACAGCCAGCTGGAGAATTCAGTCCCTGGTCCCTCTTGGCTCGGAGCCCACTGGGGTCAGCCGGCACCAGTAAATGACATCCTGGTCTTGATGTTTACATAGCCCCACTCATGGGAGAAGGAAGTGGTTGGACCCTTGAGGCCTGAGATACACGGATCATCAGGGTGGGTGGAAAGGATGATGATGCCTTAGGGAGTCAGTTCTGAAGTCCCAAAGGATGCAGCAGCTGGGGCTGGTGGGTGGGCAACTCTCCACTCACTCTTCCAAGGCTAATGGCATATATTCTCCCAGGGCTTCTTGGCTGCTGGTTTCAACGTCACCAAGAAGAAGGGCCAAGGTAGGACAGGGGTTGTCTCTCAGCATGTATGTGATACTGAGAGTAAAGCCATACACCACCAGTCCTGAAACAACTGATAGTAACAATGACAGTAACAGCAGCTGCCATTGGTTGGCAGTCTGTCCTCTGTCAGGAAGAAAGCTAGATGCTTTGGGTAGAACAACCATTCAAACTCTTGGAGTTTCCATATGCATATTCCTACTTCATAGTTGAGATAACTAAATAGTTTTTTAAAGGTCAAAGGTAGCAGGCTATGAGAAGGGCTCTGAGCCACAGTTCGTGTGACATTTCAGCACTTCATCTCACTTTTAAGCCACATTACTAACATATGGTCAAGGGAA